CCCCTTTTTCTAATTTCTGCAAGTGTCAGCTACACAGTGGTGAAAACTGCATGTCTCTATCTCTTTTCTATCGCGAGTTATTTAAGAAACGGCAGGGTGCCTTGTATTTTGAAACAGATAGTAGTTTGAAAATTTTTCTTAAACTTTTAGTACTCCTCTAAAAATAAAAAATCTTCTGGGTTATCAAGCGTGTTGAATACGAAAAAGCACTTTTCAATGACTCTAAATGAACTTTATTTAACTGAGCTATGATGTTGAAGCAGATTATTAACTTCAATGAGAACGCTTTCTATATGACAATAATATAGCGTCTGTAATTTCCTCGCACATGCAGCACGTTCTTTTATCATTCTTTCGACCTTCTATTTTCATTTGTTGACGTTTCATATATTCTTTGTATTCTAAAATAACCTTTCTGTCTTATCGTCTGTTACCTAAAAGTATAACTGTTTTGTGTAGAATTTTAAAAATGAATGTATTTATAACGGGTGGAACTGGTAATCTTGGAGAAGAAATTTCATATGGTTTAAGAAGACTTGGTTATAGTGTACGAGCACTTGTTCGTCAAATTCAAGCATCTTCGAGTCAACGTTTGTTACAGCAAGAAATTGAATTATGTCAAGGTAATCTTTTAGAACCAGAAACATATCAACATTTAATTATAGATGCGGATATTATCGTTCACTGTGCGGCGGATTATACAAATTATAGCCAAGTGGATAACATAGCTGTTGACACATTTTTAGCTGTATGTAAATCATATCCGTATAAAAAACGTCGTCTATTGTACACATCTGGTATCATGTGTTATGCTGAACAAACTCCTACAACAAAACTATTAACAGAAGAAGATAGAACATTAACGGATGGTTGGGTTATTCGAGATCGAGTTCGAAACGAACAAAAAGTGTTAGAAAATCCATTTATTTACGGATGTGTTATTCGTCCAGCATGGGTCTATGGTAAAACAAGTCGACATTTCATTCAATATTTTCTAAAAACACTCGAAAATCCTTCTACTATCCTTGTCACTCATCCTCAAATAAGTTGGTCAGAAATCCATATTGATGATTTAGTTCGATTTTATCAACTCGTTTGCGAAAGTGATCCCGATTTAATTCGATCTCAAATATTTAACGTTAGTGATCATAGTCAATATACAAATATGGAAATAGCTCGTGTTTATACTCAGGCAATGAACTGGCATGGTGAATTAATTGAAGATCATGAAGAGAAGGAGCAAAGCGAGCAGTGGAAATTTTGTAATAGAACAATTTTGGTTGATTCAAGTAAAGCAACAAAAATATTGGGTTTTAAATGTAAACATAAATTAATGTTAGACGATGTTAAAATATTAAAACAGACGTGTTTGGCAAGACATCAAATACTTTAATTGTAAAAGACAGTGTATTGTTAGATTTAATCATCAATTGATAGCAAAACGAAGTACTTAATCATCAGTTAGCAGTAGTAGAAACTTTATTTGATATCATTTGGGTGTTTGTGCTTTATAGCATATCACCGATTTCTTTTGCTCCAGTAACTATTGGTAGCCTTGGAAACGGATGAACTATAGGTAATCGATCATGCTGAGTCTCGTGGTAATAGTTATTTCTAGACATCTACCGAAAAGCGAGTTTTACGAAGATTTGATTTTGATTTTTCAAGCTGTTTTTATCTAATATTAAAAAATTCACTATTCACTCAGTAAACATTAGAACGACTTCA